AATGTCCAGACGTAAACAATAACATGCAGCATCTTTATTGGGCGGCCCTGCAGACTCTTGGTTCCAACCACAATAGAGTTGAATTTCAGCTACATTCACAATTACTGTGGAAATGGCATGCTACTTCCTCTTTCATCCTCCAGCAGGGATTGTGTCATAGTGCTCTGCATACATGATTTGTGCACTTATTCGCAGTAATGGCTTCATCTTTCCCGCTTCCTTACCCTTCTGTCGGTGCAGCACCGTCCCTGATTTCGCAAAAGGGCATACATTTCCGTTCAAAGACCTCTTTCTCTCACGGAGCCTCTTCCGCATTCCGCGAGCGTATTCGCGGTGAAAGGAACAAAATCCACAGAGTTTTTCTCCTCTTCACGCCTGAGCTTTGAAGTTCTGAATTCGCCGTCATCCCTCTCCATCCCTCGCTCTGCGTGTCCAACAGGCGTTCCTGCACTCGGACGGCTCCGACATCTGTGGAGCATTCTCGTTTCGGTTTCCGACGCACCGGGCCGCAGCTTGCATCAGGAACTGATTAAACAGAGGGGGGTGAAAGTTTCAGGTTTTTAAGAGGCTGGTGTGAACTTTATTAAAGCGGCGTGTCTCTGCGGCACTTTCAGGACTTCCCTTTGATCTGTGTTTATTTATAGAGTTCAGGTCGAAGCGAAGGCTGCGGATCTCAGCGGCGCTTTTATAAAACACTGCACCTGTTTCAGCAGAAATTGACAGAATGCAAGGGTTCTTGCAGGCCAGCACTGTCATTGACTTAAAAGTTTTGCAAGTCGGAATTACGATTTGCGCTAGAATGAGGTGGGGATGTTTTCAGCCGTGTCGAAATGAGCGCAGTTTGCAAAACTGCAATGGAAACACTTTTGTCTCATCGCGAGTCATGTGATCAACAATCGTTTTTTAGCGCCGTGTTGTTCTCTTCTTTCTGATTTTGTCAATATTGCACTGGAAGACATAAATACATTCATTCGGGCACCATTTTGGACCGTGGAGCAAAACATATGACGCATTTCATGTCACAGATCCATTCAATAAAGTTGGCCATTTATTTCAGGAAAATTTTCACCAAGCACAACACATTATGTGGGTTAATTACACACTAATTGATGTTTGAAAACCTTTATGTTAAACGTGATGATTTTCCGCTTATAACTAGTGGAAACATGACATTTAAAAATGAAACACCAATTCGTCAAAAAATTATATAAAAAAACAAATATATGTCTAATATCTGCTTAAAGGTTATTTTCAAAAGGGACTTTTAATCTGATAAACACATTATCCTAATATATTGAATATATAAGACTGCATATTCAAACACATAGTGTGTACTGCATCTTCTCTCTCCAATGATGATGAGTTAAACAGCCAGATCACCCAGGTTAAGACAAAGGACGAGTGCAGATTTAGAAATTAATCTTCAATTGGTTTGAAAATCCATAACACATTTTTCTGTTTCTACTGGACTTGCAGGGCGGCTGAATATAAATCTGTTTTGAGTTTAGTTTAGTGCATTCAGAGCCCCTTCCTGACCATGACCTTTCCCTCTGCACAAGGTTTTCATCTGTTTTCTGTTTTTTTTTTTTTACTTTTTTTTTTTGTTTGCCTGTGATATTTTTATATTCCTAGTTTTGGGTATCTCTTTTTATCTGCTTTAAAAGGCTGTAAAGCTTTCATGGGTCGCGATTTATCGTTTACAGTAAACTTTATTTATGACGAGTCATTTTTACGGGGGAAAAACAGAAATGCTCTTCATGACGTGCAGACAATTAGGTCCAGACCTTTTCCACAGTTGCTGTTGCCACTTTTTCTTGATTGTGGACGATTTACTCCTGGACATGTCTCACATCTGGCAATGCAGCGTTAATGATGTTAGTTAGTTACGCATCCGTCTGCAAGAACACAAGAGGCGTCTGAAGGCACAAAGCACACTGTAAAACTCTTGCAGGAGCAGATCAGGATGTTTTGTTTGTATGTAAACAATGAACATTTTTGCTAAACCACGTCAAAGAGTCAAAAATACATAAACATAAACCCAAACCCAGAGTTTGAGAAGTTATTTTATGTTTTTACCAATTCAGATACTTCACGGATGACCAAAACACCATCCAACATCCATGAGCAAATATGTCATTTTATACCTTTTAGTCCAACAGCACTTTGATAAGCAGTTGGGCCCACAAAAAGGATTTGCTACCCATGTACTTGTCAGTAGGACAATATTGACTCATCAAGGGGATTGATATGTTGAAAGGAAACAGACAAGATAATATACAGTGCTGAAGGCAGCTGGAGACCAATCTTTGAGTGGTCCTCTTTGTCTGCCATCTCCCCCTGCCCTTCAGAGCCCCCCTGCCCCCACCCCTTCCTCTTCCTCCTCGTCCCTTAATTCCCCCTCGGTGCACAAAGAGGGGACAGCGCTGGCCTGAGTCATTTGGATAATAATTATTTCTGCATTTAGTGCCAGCTGGGTGCCTGAAAAGGTCAGGGAACAGCACGAGGACCGGCCGATCTGAATGTTGGTGCCGGCTTCCGAACGGCAGCGGACAATAGAGGGGTCCTTGGCCCCGGATTTAAATGGCATGGCAACGGGACAGCTCCCTCGCCGAAGCAGCACCGCCCACTGTGGCCTTCTGAATTGCCACACAGGCTGTTGGCCGGATGCTTGGTGGAGGCAAATGTGAAGATTGATGAAGAAGAGAGCCACAGGAAGGGTGTGCTGGAAGAAAGTTGCTGGCTTGTGAGAAGAAATGAGAACAGCTATATGTGGATCCGCTGCAAAAACACAAAATCTTATCAAGTTTCTAGTGCAAATATCTTGCACCAGTCAAGATGGTGCAAGATATTTGCACCATCTGGCAAAGTTATGGCAGTTAGTTTTGTCATATTTGAGATATGGCAAGTCTAACTTAACAGTAACTTGCATGCATGATATAGGAACTTGTTTTAAGTCAATAATAATAATAATAATAATAATAACAAAATATTAGTTCCACTGGCTGATTTTCTTTTTCACTTATAAGGAAAAAATGTATTTTACAATTGAAATAATCTATCAATAAACTAGTAGTTTTTAATCAATATTCAAGAATCGTTGGCTTAAATCAAGGTTCTTTATGTTCCTGAAAAAAATACTTTTAGTTTTGTTCTTTTTTTCCTCCCAAAGTGTACTAAAATACTAAACCCAAATACGTGATGGGATTTTTGTGTTTGAACTGGCAAAAGAGGATATCTGTTGCAAACAGACACAACTTCTCCAACACACAAGCATAACAGCTCATTTTAAGCCATTACATGGAGTAAACTTTGCTACAGTTGTCTGATTCAGGGTAAATATTTTGGTTTTGCCTGAATAGAAGCGCTGAAACGCGTTTGTTAGAAAGTCCGTCTCTTGACTCGCCGCCTTTGTTGCTTTAGCTTAATGGAGTCATGTGAACACTGAGAGGTTAAAAAGTCTCGCTTCTTGCCGCTCTCCATTCAAACCTCCCTTCATCCTTCGCTTTTTTAGGTTACCATAGCGCCAAAGGCCCTGCAGCGACCCAGCTTAAGCTGCATGAATGAGATTTTGTTTTTAATATGCGGCGGTGCTTTTAATCTCGGTTCTCTGACAGCTTTATTTCATTCTCTCTCTTTGAAGGGTTTGCATTGGGCAGTCTGTGCTGAAAAGAATACCAGGGTGGGAGAATTCACGTCTATGTGAGAATGCGTATGAATTTACAAAAGAACAACAACAAAAAAGGTTTATTGAAATCCAATGTCACAGAAAGCCCTCTGCTGGTTTTTCTTTACATATTTGTAACACATATCCAGTTTGTTGGCGTGTCAGAGCGAATTTTTAACAATATAATAAGTTTAAAGTAAAAATAACATGGCTACAGTATTTATTTATTTTTTCTTTTGCAAAATTCTTATGATCTGCAGATGTTTTTGTTTGTTCAATCAATCAAGTTTATTTGTAACAAGGCAGTTCAAAGTGCTTAACATCATAAAACACAATGAGAAGTCATAAAAGCGACATACAGTCAACAATCAATCAAACAATAAAGTTTACTTGTCTAGCATATTACAGCAAGAAGGCAGTTCAATATGCTTTACATCATAAAATCATAAAATACAAAGAACACACAGTCAACAATTGAAGCAATAATGTTTGATATTTTCTTCTTTGCTTATTTCCATTCATTTCACCTGTTTGTTGTTTTTTTCTCATTCTGCTTCAGGATTGTAACTTTAGATTAGTGATCGTTTGTTAGCTGTCATTAGCGTTTCCCCTTTTTCATTGTCTACTTCATTTATCTCTCTCGTTCCACCTGCCTGCCAGCTCGCTCCCCTTCCCAGCTGTTTCTCATTTCCTCATTTGCTTCTACCTGCTGCCTTCCTCTTTTGGTCTTTTGGTCCCTTTTGTCATTTCTGCACCCCCCCCCCCCCCCTTAATTAAAGCTCAGTTTTCTCCTTCCCTGTACTTTTGCCGTTCATTTATTTTTTTCTCTATGCCTTCCTCTGTTACTGGTCGTTTCTTTTTTTCATCACTAAATGCTTTTTCGCCAACAACGTCCCAGATCGCCTCATTGCATTTTGGTCGGATTAAATCGTAACTCACCGACAAAAATGTGCAACGTGAATTTAACTGGTTGGTGGTGGGGGTGCTTAGCCATGGCAACTCAAAGTATTTTGTTGAAAGCAAAGAACATGTAGGTTAACAGAAGTGCACACAGTTTTATTTTTGCATCTCACTAAAATGACTTTAAGCAGTGAGATCAGTATATAGAAAATGTTTTAGTTTACTGGTGCTGGCGACAGCGGGTCTTGTTGCGGTTCAAAAGATGAGGCCATCACCATCGCCGTTACTTTAATGACAGGCTGTTGATTCACTTCAGGGCTGAAGTCACGCTACATCTTTGGGCCCAAATGACAAGCCCTCAACTGTTCTCTTTTTCATATGCTTTCTTTTACGGAACGAGCCTTAATTTTATTAAAAGGGATCTTGGCAGTGTTCGAAAAGATTCATTGCTTTATCATAAAGGGACTTTGTTTTTGGTGCAACCTGTTAATCAGAGTGGCACGACAAAGGACGCAAGCCAACAAAACCTTCTCCAGGCACCATTAGTATTTTTTATTATTTTTTTTATGTACCAACTGTTCCAGGTCGTCATGCCGTCTCAAACGGGGAGAGGGAGGACAGGCCTGGGAGGGCGTGGACGAGCTCGGTTGAGCAGAAGAAGAGTTGGTGTGTGTCTGATACACGCTGCTCCGAGGTCCATTTCAGGAACCGTCCCACTGATCTGCAGTAAAATGGATGGTCTCAGGCTCTAATGGCGTGGCCCCTTCTTTCAGCGTTGGCCGTCTATCTCAGACTGTATGAGACGTGATCAATGGGCTGAAATGAGGCTGGAATCAGGCAGTTCATCTTTAGGGTGTGGAGTCTGCTGAAACACCTTCGGGGCAAATGAGAGCAGCAGTCAGTCTTAACATTTGTCATATCACTTTTTAAACAAACTGGGCAGAAGATATTTAAAACAAACAAAACAATTATCAATAATTATCAATATCTGGAGATATGTAATCCTTACATCGTGATACAATAACCCTCACCCCCAACTGTATCAAATGGTTTTTTTACATGGATGTGCGGATTAGGAATAGAAAACTACAATGACACCATGATCCACATTACTATTTTTATACATTATAATGTAGAACAATTTGAAGTTAAAGCTACAAACACGCAGTTAGCTAGGTGGAACTGATATCAACTTAATTCATTTGACATCACACTACATGTCCTTGGATGTAAGTCAATTTAACTGTCAGACGACGTTTTGCCAGAAGAGTGAAGGCCTATAGTTCCTATTTATTTCAGGAAATGAATCTAAAGGAGGAATAACCTTCTCAAACCATTAGCGAGCTTCTGTGAAGCTGCCGTGAGCGGAATACCTGGAGAGGTGCAGAGTATTGGACCTAGTGGAGCAATAACCAATTTATACTGCAGAAGTTTGGAAAATCACACCCACAGGGATATATTCTCACAGCTATGAGCCACTATGAACTCATTCTTGTGTAAACTTCCTGTCAGAGTGGAGTCACCTGGTTTCCATAGCTAAACAGCCAGAAGAAACAAGAAGGTAAACATAGCAAACGTATCAAACCCCAGCTGGCTCTCATAAAGCTAATTCAGGGTGGGCTAAACATCATCAGCATTTACAACATGCATTCACCAAGAAAACACATCAAATTGACTACGCTTTTGACATGGAATTTCTATTTTACTGTAAACCAAATTTTGATACTTTTTCATTTGTGTTAAGAAGACAACTTGTTGCTTTTTTTAAAATTTAGTTGGTCTTTTATCTGTGATCTTAAGTATTGTTATTAACAAGTAAATATTTTCTGTGGGTATTTTCTGTTCTCAGAACCAAAACTTAAAACCAATTAACTGTATTGTGTATTTGCCATGTGTGTGTTTAGATTTTGAAAAAAACTAAACAAAAACCCTGTTTTTCTGATTTGTGCGTCAGGATGAGGGGATTTGTGAGTTGAATCGCAATTGGTATACTTTGCAAATTTTCAATTGAATCATTTTTTTTCACATTATGCCAGTTTGTGTACAGCAGAAAAGGGCTTATTTGCAAACACTGGCCTCCTTCGACAACACGCAGCTGGCTCCACCTGAGCTCTCACAGCCTTTCAAAGTTCATTAAAAGTTGAGTTTGTCGTTTGAAAGTGCTGAATCCACGCCTGCACTCTAAAACCATAACTCCAATTAACAACGCAGTTGCGAAAGTGTGTTTTCCGACATTAGCAGAACATTGAAAAAGTTTTATGCCTGTTTGTAACGGAAACGCAGTTGATAATATAGAAAAATATGCTGCCATACGTTAATCAAGCTGGTTATATGAAAACACTTATTTACAATGTTCAGCACAAAGGTGATCAACCATGGCAAATAAAATAAGCCCATAGGATTGCTTTGCATTAGGACAATACTCCATCCTGAGACAGTAGAACAGCATGAACTCCACACCCTTCATCCTGATAAACATGGACTATACACATCAGAAGCAACACACACTTGTGTTCCACAAAAATATTCCTCCTTTTTCCACATTCAGACCAATTTGAAGCATGCCAGTAAACATAGTAAGATAAAAAAATAACTGTGACAGCATCTTGTGATGCTGTCACAGTCGTTATAAACTGTTTGGTGGATGTGGGGCGGGGGGTTCTGTTTTTAGCAGCGCAGCCACGCCCTGCTTTAAGATCTGCATTCTGTGAACCCCAGCCAATTGGCGGGCCTCGTTTACTACCAGCTGCGTTTGCACATGAAAGATGCCGCCTTCTCGTTTACACTTCAGTCTATTTTTTTCTCCCTTATCATTAATTTTTACAAGATCTCACAGTGTGGTTCAAGTTGAGCTTTACCATAATTTACTGGTCTTCGGGATTCATTAAAGTTGTTTTTAGGAACACTTTGGTGTTCATCAGTCTGTCGAGAGCTGAGCTGGTTTCAGTTTCCAAGAACCACTCTGCCGTGTTCGCGGACACGGTGCCCTCACCGTTACTTGATTTTCCTGTTGACACAGACATCCCACCAGAAATTTGGAAAAGCTTCTTCCTTTCTCTTCTTGCTTCATATCACCTTCCCAAACACTTCGCTTTAAAATGGAGCTGAGAGGAAGCTAAAAGACGATAATGGACAGCTTCCTATCAGTGCCCGACAGTCGATCCATTGCTTAAGATGACTTTTAAAAACATGAAATAAACTGTTACCTTTTTTGTTTCCTTTTTTTTTTTTTTTACTGTCGTATCATGCATGTGTTTGAAGTTCTGACAGTGAGGGGATAAGTGAGATAGAGGATTTGATTTTTTTCACAGAACTTCTTGCTCAGTCGCTCACTTTTTTTTTTTGTCATATCCACAGAGCTCCAAATCAATTTTCCATGCATCTACAGTTATCCCTAAGCTTGTCAAGATTCACCGACAGGCAGAACTCACGTTTCAAATGGACACATTGCCACAATCTCTTCTAAGTTTCTTTGTTTTTTTTCCCCCATATAGGTCTCCTCCTTCACACATTCTCTCCTTAAAGGAGCCACCTATTAACACCCATCCTCACACTTTGGGACCATGAGAGAGCCAACAGACTCGTTTATTATCACTTCTTTATTATCCTCCAAGCCGCTAACGACACCGTATTATGGAGCATATTGCCGTTAGGATTTTAATTTTAATGGCTCCGCTCTCAGGAAGGTGCCTTCGGTCTTTAGCGATTTACAGGAACACATAAAAAGAGGAAAAGATGTAAAATAAGCTCATTTTCTTTTGATGGTCCATTTTTGTGCGGTTATCTTTCTATGGGGTGTAAATTATGTCGGCAATTACACCTCCGTGTTGACATTTTACACACTTAAGCTTTACATGTAACGGTAATTATTACAGTAAATAATTTACTTTCAGTCCACACTGGGACTGGTTTAATAGAAAACAGTACCAAAGCCTCAAGGTTCTGGATTTGGTGTGTTGGACAAACATTCATTGCTCTCAGTGGACACGTATTTTAAGCAGGTGAGATGCTGAACTTCAAGACCAGGGATGGTATCACATCAGGTAAATTAATTATAATCAATATAGTGTTTGATCCCACAACATTGTCTGAACTACGTGTTTTCCTTGATATTCTATGGCCAAAGTTTCAACTTGTCCAAGAAATAACTTCCTTCATTTCCATGTTTTCTCTGCCTCCATTTGTAAACACCTTACTAATATTGTGAATGGAAAAAAACAAAAACAAAACAAAAAACACCTCACCAACAGAAAAAGAGAATTGTTTTTACAGCCTGGCAGAGCATAGCTGTGCTGGAATCACTCATTGAAAACGGACCCAAACCTGAAAACTGTCTGATCCCGGTCACCAGCTGATTCCCATCTCTAATTTCTGTGACATCCTTGCTCCACCATGCTGTGTGTGTGTGTGTGTGTGTTCTGTCATAGCTCGAGGACGTGTGTGTTAACTCAGCAGGCTGACCATTCCTGAAGGCTTCTATTGTTCTCGGCTTTATTGAAACCTCTCCAAACACAGGCCTGTAATTAAAGGGATCACTTCCACTTAATACTTTTGTTCCCGTGCCCTCTTGCCCTACATACAGGACTGTGGAGGGGAGCCGGTGAAGGATAATGAATGTGCATAGGTGTGCGTGTACTCAGATAAGTGTGTGTTTGCAGGCAGATGCAAGTGACGGCATCTTCATTTAGCTCTGACTCACCACTGCGTTCATTCATACATCATCTAGTAGTAGCGGTTGCCATCTGTGGTCGAACCCGTGACCGCCTGGACTCTTTCATCAGCACAAAGGGCTAATCCCCCTGTGGCTTGTCTGGGCCTCGGAGAACACCAACAGCTTCCTCCCTGACATCCCTTCCTGAAACCACCTGAAGGTGACAGTGTTTTGTCATAGCTGCTGTTAGCTAAGAAATCAGTAGTAGACATTCCGTGGGCAAAGGCTTTCTTCTTTCTGGCATTACAAGGAACATTTAATGTTTGTCTTTTGTGTAATTGTCCCTACCCAGCTCCCCTTTTGGAGTTTTAGTCTTTAAATGCTTAGGGTGGCCAAAGTGAGCGATGTCTTATTAGATAAAAATAGAAGACCCCACAAGAGGAGAGTTAATTATAATTACTTTTTGTTTCTGTGGCCAATTCTCGTGAAGATACTTTTTCTTTCTTCTTTTTGCTTAAATTGCAAGCAGGAGTACCTCACAAGTGGAACAAAATGAGGTAGATTTCCTTAATTTAGAACACAGACTTTGGTTGTGTACCAGCCGTCTCATCCCCACCGCAATTCCCCCCCATACCTCGCCCGTTCCTCCTCACCGCTCTGTTTACTCCGACTCAGAAGCACTTAGTCTTTGTCTGAGGATTAGAGGAGATTACACTATGATCCAGTTTATGATAGCAGCTCATTTTTGGGGAAGTCCAGAAGTCACCCTGCTAGGAAAGACAAACCGAGGCAGACAAAACACCCAACTAACGTGGGTGAATTGCTAACCGCGTGGCTCAGTGACTGGTTGATTTCCTCCTATCAACCATCTGTTGGCAGGAATCAGACCTCCGAATACTCACTGACCCAAGTCTGGATGTTAAGCCTAGAAAAGGCATCGGGATATAATCATCTCATATGAGTTAATAATGACAATTATTGATTAGCTTGTTGTTTTAAATATCTGACACACTGCTAAGCTGGTGGCGTGACGTTTTCTGTTTGTCCACAGCTTCTACCTTACGCCATTATTGTTTATTTTTAATCAGTTATGAGGCTGAAACTGCTGCTGCGCAAGTTACTGGACAAGTTGTTGCTCGGTAACCAAAGAGTAAATTAATCGACATCACCAACCCAGCTTAGCTGGCTGTGAGATGTTCAGGCTAAAGTCTTTCCTCTGCCTGCATCCTCCACAATGATGTGTGATGTTGTATCCACACTTTTTACTCCACACACATTTTTTTTTTATCTTTAAGCAGTTATTAAGCACTGTTGTTGCTAGGTAACCAAAAAAATCTGTGAATTAGTTGATGTCACCAACCTAGAGAGAGGTTGACCAGATCCCTTACGTCCCCCAAAATGCTGTGTGATTTTGTATCAGTCAAATGATTGAATATTCTACCAGATGTATTATCTGTTGATTTATCGCTGCACGGTGTTGTCGGTTCCTTGTGCAGCCCTAACTGAGACCCACACAAACTTCAGTCTAATCCGCTTCACATCCATTGGCCTGGAACATTATCAGGCCAGGACTGCTGCATCCACTGAAACTTCCTTTAGATGCGTTCCTGTCCCAGCACCGGGAGGACGGATTCATTAGGGAGTGTGTGCACCTGGAATGTTGCCATGACGTCTGACTTATGGGCTAAAAGCTTGCCACAGTTGACCTCGCTGCCCTCTTTTATATGGAGCATGAAGACTTATGGTCCACTAAATCTCTGAAGAGGACAAAAAAACACTAAGAGATCCACTTTGACCTGCCTGAGAAGACGAGTCTTTGGAACTTTCTCACATTTGACCAGGGCCGGACTATAAGAGCTACTCTTGTCTGTTTACTTTGACAGGTACCTTTCAAAAAACAGGGCTAAGTTAATTAATGTCTACCTCATTAGAATAAATAATTATACTTGACCAATTCCGTGTCCGATGGCCTTTTTCATGCCGCTGATTATCGACTGCCGCTGGTCCTGATTAGCATGTCGGTCACTGGGGGAATGATGCCCCACAGTCATGGTGATAATTGAAAAAATATTCACAGCCAATGAGAATAAGTGTGTTTTCCTGGCTGTAATGATTATGCTAATGCACTGGGGGTGAAGTGGCCAGCAGCTGTCAGATGGACTTTTTTGATTGATTGATGTCTGAACCGAGGTGATGGAGGCACAGTCCCATTAAATGCAGTGACAGGCAGGACGGGGCTTTAGCAGTTTAAGGTAACATAATGTCTTCATTAAGAAAAAAACAAAACACCATGGCCATAGATCATGATGGTGTCAGCTCCATATTTTGTCTGGCTGGATTGATAATGATGTCATGAATGCTGGGGGTCATAGGTTGAGGGGGTATTGACATATACAAAACTCCTCTCAGGTTGACTGGAGAGGAAGGAAGAAGTCTTACAAACCTACGTACTTAATCAACTAATTTTATTCAAACTTTTTAAAATGTGGTAAAAAAAAAAAAACATGATTGGTGAAATTGAGGAAATTAACAAATTTTACTGGTAAAACAAATGTATTACACATCCTTATATTTTCATAATTCATGTATTTTTCAGTCATGCTTACATTGCAGGTTCTAAAGTTTGTTCAGTTAACTTTGTTTGAGGTTGACTCTTACCGGCTTCAATTAGTCCCACAGTTTGCTAAAGTAAATTAGACACTATTTTATGACATAAACACTGTTATATGTGCTAAGTCTCAAAATCTGTGAATTTGACAACAATCTTAATAAAATTAGTCGGTAACCCCTGCGCCTTATATGGATAACATAGGTAGTTAAAAAAAACAATTATTTTAAAAAGTTGCAAAACAAAAAAAAAAACAGCACAATAAAAAAAAAACATTTGGACAGAAATCCACAAATATACATATATATAAAAAATTCCCTTCTCACCCACCGCGGGTGGTTCTTATCCTCTGAGCTCGGGTCCTCTACCAGAGGCCTGGGAGCTTGAGGGTTCTGCGCAGTATCTTGGCTGTGCCAAGGACTGCACATTTCTGGACTGAGATGTCTGATGTTGTTCCTGGGATCTGTTGTAGCCACTGCTCCAGTTTGGGGGTTACTGCCCCGAGGGCCCCGATGACCACAGGCATCACTGTGGTCTTCACCTTCCAGGCCCTCTCCAGTTCTTCCCTGAGGCCCTGGTATTTCTCCAGTTTCTCGTGCTCCTTTTTCCTGATGTTGCAATCACTTGGTATTGCTACATCTACCACAACGGCTTTCCTCTGATGTTTATCCACTACGACAATGTCTGGTTGGTTCGCCATTACCATTTTGTCTGTCTGGATCTGGAAGTCCCACAGGATCTTAGCTCTGGCGTTCTCCACCACCTTTGGGGGTGTTTCCCACTTTGATCTCTGGGTTTCCAGTCCATATTCTGCACAGATGTTTCTGTACACTATGCCTGCCACTTGGTTATGTTGTTCCATGTACGCTTTCCCTTGCAGTATCTTGCACCCTGCTGTTATGTGCTGGACTGTCTCAGGGGCCTCCTTGCACAACCTACACCTTGGGTCTTGTCTGGTGTGGTAGATCTGGGCCTCTATTGCTCTGGTGTTTAGGGTCTGTTCCTGGGCGGCCAGGATGAGGGCCTCTGTGCTGTCCTTGAGTCCAGCTTTTTACAGCCATTGGTAGGATTTACTGATATCAGCCACTTGGGTTATTTGCTGGTGGTACATCCCATGTAGGGGCTTGTCCTCCCATGATGGTATCTCCGGCACCTCAACCTCCGTTCCCTGTTGTCTGAGACATTCACTGAGCACATTGTCTGTAGAAGTTTTGTCCCTGACGTTTCTATGGATCTTAGATGTTTTGTCCTGGACACTGGTTCTCACACTCACTAGTCCTCTGCCTCCTTCCTTGCGGCTCGTGTACAGTCTCAGGGTGCTGGATTTGGGATGGAACCCTGCATGCATGGTTAGTAGCTTTCTAGTCTTAATATCTGTGGCTTTTATCTCCTCCTTTGGCCAGCTAATTATTCCAGCAGGGTATCTGATTACTGGCAGGGCATAGCTGTTTATCGCACGGATTTTGTTCTTGCCATTGAGCTGGCTTCTCAGGACTTGCCTTATTCGTTGGAGGTATTTAGCTGTGGCTCCTTTCCTTGTGGCCTCATCAAGGTTGCCATTTGCTTGTGGTATACCTAGGTACTTGTAACTGTCCTCTATGTCTGCTATTGTTCCTTGTGGGAGTGAGACTCCTTCTGTGCGGATCACCTTCCCCCTCTTTGTGATCAGCCGACCACACTTCTCTAGTCCGAATGACATCCCAATGTCAGTGCTGTAGATCCTGGTGGTGTGGATCAGTGAGTCGATGTCTCGCTCACTCTTGGCATACAGCTTGATGTCATCCATGTAGAGAAGGTGATTGATGTTGGCCCCATTTTTGAGTCGGTATCCGTAGCCAGTCTTGTTGATAATTTGGCTGAGGGGGTTCAGGCCTATGCAGAACAGTAGCGGGGACAGAGCATCTCCTTGGTATATGCCACATTTGATGGACACTTGTGCAAGTGGTTTGCAGTTGGCTTCAAGGGTGGTTTTCCACAGCCTCATCGAGTTTGCAATGAAGGCTCTCAGAATCCTGTTGCTGTTATACATCTCTAGGCATTCAATGATCCAAGTATGCGGCATTGAGTCATAGGCTTTCTTGTAATCGATCCAAGCCATGCACAGGTTGGTGTGTCGGGTTTTGCAGTCTCGGGCAACTGTGCGGTCTACGAGGAGTTGGTGTTTGGCTCCTCTGGTATTTACACCGATACCCTTCTGTGCCGTGCTCATGTGTTTATCCATGTGTTTGCTTATCTTGGCCGCTATGATGCCTGACATGAGCTTCCAGGTTGTGGAGAGGCAGGTTATTGGTCGGTAGTTGGGTGGGACTGGACCCTTTGATGGGTCCTTCTGGATTAGGATTGTCCGCCCTTCAGTTAACCATTCAGGGTGAGTCCCACTTTGTAGCAGCTGGTTCATTTGGGCTGCCAGTCGCTCATGGAGAGCAGTGAGTTTCTTTAGCCAGTAGGCATGGATCATGTCAGGCCCTGGTGCTGTCCAGTTTTTCATACCTGAGACTCTTTCTTGAACATCTGTCACAGTGATGGTTACCGGTGCTTGTTCAGGGAGGTTGCTGTGGTCTTCTCATAGCGAGATCAGCCACTGTGCATTGCTGTTGTGGGACGCCTCCCTTTCCCATATGCCTTTCCAGTATTGTTCAGTCTCCAGCCTTGTTGGGGCTGCTCTGTTGTTATTACCCTGCCATTGAGAGTACACCTTAGCTGGTTGAGTGTATATATATATATATATATATATATATATATATATATATATATATATATATATATTATTTGAAGCACAGTAGAGGCAGTGTGTTCTCAAACTCAATCAGAAATCGTGACAAATGGAGCTGATGTCCATATTGTTCAGAACAATCCAAGCTATTCTTTTCCGTAAATGAGTTGCTCTAATTTGACCTTTCATTTGCGTCCGGAAGCCTCCGTCCCCTCCTTTCACCCTCCACCGTTTTCCTCCATATTCTTCATTTTGTCCTCCATCTGTCAGTATCTGCCAGCCTCTTGACCTTCACATCGATTATTACACAATATTGATAGTCCCAGTTGAAAGAACTCTGCCAGACATGTTTCTTTTCTTTCTGCGTCTCTCTGGTCATTACTAAATGTCATGACCTCTGACCTGCTCTGCTTTTTTTTGTTGTTGTTGTTGTCGTTCACCCCTCTTTCTGGAGACTCCAACACTTAATCTGGTGATGGAAATCCCAGTTGAGAGCACCAAAAGAATCTCAACATCTAACCTCTTTGTGTGACTTCAACTTGAAACTATCCAAATAGGGAGAAGGGAGGGGGGGATAAAAAGAAGAAAAAAAAAAATCATTCAAATCCATCCTTTTAATTCTTCTTTATTACACCCGCCGTCAATATTTTTATTGTTTAAAGTGGCTCTGGGTGATGGACATCCCGCCCCGTCTCTCGTTCATTATGTATAGAAGGACTAGTGGTGGCACACTGTGGGGTGGGATGAGGGCTGTTCAGGAGAAGACTTGTTGGGATGCGTACAGGGCAATGAGGGAAGCAACGCGGGGCAGATGTGAATTATTTACGGGCCGGCTCGTGGTTCACATGCTGAGCGTCAGGGCTCTGACATTTGGAAAAGGGAGCGATCGTCTGCATTCGGCGCAGCGTGACGCCGCGCCGAAGTAAATGAGATTCTTTACAGGTGTAAGCCTCCTAGAACGAACCTGAGAAACCCGAGTGCCTTAATAAAAGGCAGGATTTCTGCTCTGCTTGTTAGTCATTAAAAAGGGATTAAAACTGGCTGTACATGCTGGCAAAAAAAAAGAAGAAAATGAAGAAGGAAAAAAAAGCCAGAGTATGAAAGCAAACTGAAGAAGGCAAGTCTGTTGCAGTGATACATTTTTGAAATCTCATCTAATATACAACCAATCGACCTTTGCTTCTTGAGCCTGTTTAAATTCTGATGTTAGCTTTTCATTACAGGTAGTCTGTCAGAGTGTGTCGCTTTGGTAATGTACCAGAAAAGCAAACAAGTACTAGAGGTTTGTGCAAATGTGAATATCTGTATGTGTTGAGTAGATCAATCTGCTCCTTCGGATTCTGACAGGTTCCCATATATTTGCATTAAACAACCACAGAGCTCAAGCGCTGTATAAAAAAACCTTTGGATTCGTTCAGCCGGAGTAGCTCATAAACCACAGAAGACATTTTTTCCAGTTACGTCCTGAGCCTGCTCTGCTCGCTGTACATTTAATTGAAGGTCATTTCTTCTAAATAATGTACAATTTCCTTTTCCGTTCTTTTTCTAGCAGCACAGAATACCAAAAAACATTCACTTTGTTCTTTTTTATATTTGGTGTGCTGACATGTTTTACCTGAAAAACCCATCTTTTTGCAGTGGTCCGACAAGTGCAAGGGGGGCAGCTGATAGGTGCTTCAGTTTGAGAGGGTGTTGTTGAAATAAGCGGGA